GATTTGCATTTTTCAAACCCCATAATTCGCCACTGTTTGGCAAAAAAAAAAACCTCTCTCAGCCAAAAAAAAAAAAATTAAAAAGGGGTAAAATATAAAGGGTGGTGGTCAAAGGGAGAAGACAAAAAAATGGTATGAGAGAAAGGCGTGATTCATTTAGGCCGCGAATGCATTACACACATTGTGTTCAACAAGGGGATGCGATGCATTTTCCCTAAATAAAAAAATAAGGGATGAATGTTGACAACGTACAAAATTATTCTCAATCTCGTTTCATATTTTTTTTTTCTGAATTCGGTACTTTTAAAAAAAAAAATTTTAAATTTATATTATTTAATAAAACTCTTGTTTTTACAATTTTTATTTCTGCTTTTGGCTTTTCCCATAAGAAATGATAATTAAAAAAAAAAATTATTTTGTTGTCGACCCTGCGTGTGTGTGTCAGTTTTAAAAAAAAATTTTTTTTTTATTATCCTTTTTTTAAATATTAGTTTCGTTACTGATGACAAAAAAGGGATTTGACAAAAAGGGATGATTGAATTTAGGGGTTGATAAAATCATTCGTATTTGGTTTTAACAAACAAAAGCATAAAATTGGGCATAAATTCCATTCCGTGTTTTTTTTTTTTTTTTTTACATTCGACAAAAAAAAAAAATGAAAATTCAATCGTGAAAACGTTTTATTAAATTTCCCGCCAATATTTAAATAGTTTTAAAAAAAATAAATAACGTGTCACGATAATAAATATTATTTATATATATATATATATATATATATATATATATATATATTATTTAAAAAAAAGAAAATGTTTCGGTTGTTAAATGTTTTCTCCTTCCACGATGCTTTCGGTTAACCGTATCGAGGCTTTGTGGTCCTTCCTTTCTACTAGTTTCTCCTCTTTAAAATGTTCATCACGTGATCGCGGCGTTTATTTTCGGGGGGAGGCGAGGGGAGATACCATGCGATAGGTTGTACCTGTTGTCGTCATACTTTTTTTTTTCTAATAAAAATTTGAATACGTAAAAAAAGAAAAGAAAAATTTATTAAATTAAAAGAAATGTGAGACGGGGGGTGGAGGGAAAACAATTTTATTTCCTTTGACAGGAAAAAAAGGAAAAAGGAAAAAACACGTCACAAATAGAAATTTGAAAATTAAAAGACACACAAACACTGATTTACCTCAATAATATCGATTTAAGGAACCAATTGAAAATCTATTACCCGAAAGAAGTAAAATTTTCCTTTGATTCCCCACCGGGAACAATTTGAGTGGAAGGAAATTTTTAACTTTTACCATTTTAACTTATTTTATTCTTTTTTTTCTTCCTTCTTATCTTTACTGCTTTTCCTTTTCAAAACCGGTCATTTTCCTTTTTTTTCCTTTTTTTTAAATGATATAATTCGAACGTTTAAATAAAAAAAAAATTTTTTTATAAGAAAACTTTTTTCAATTGTTTTTCCAATTTCCTCATTTTTTTTTTTTTTTTTAAGGAAAAAACTTTTTACCAAAAAAATATTTTCTTCGACGCGATTTTATTATTATTATTATTAATAATTTAAAAGAAAAAGAAGGATATGACGTCACGTTTTTCCTCTTCTCCTCGTTTTTATTTTATTTAAATTTTTATTCTTCAATTTTGAATTGAAAAAAAAAAAAAAAAATCTTTTTTTTTTTACTTCAACAAAACCATTTTCCTATTCTCTTTAAAATCATTTTGTTCATCTATCTATCTATCTATCTCTCTATCTATCTATTTCTTTTTTTATCTTGAAAAGGTTGTGATATTTTCCCAAGAGAACAAGATTCAATTTCATATCAATGGTTTTTGAAATGATATCAAGGCGACTGACTTTCTTTCTTTCTTCGGAATGCAAATTTCCATTATTGGGAAATCGTGGTTTGAGTCGTGGAAAAAAGAGACAAAAAAAAAAAAAACGTTAAAAGAGTAAGAGAGAGGGAGAGAGAGAAAGAGAGAGAAAAGTTAATAATTTTTTTTTTTAACGGGGAGCTCTTAAATGCCTGTTTCAGGGAATTTCTTTAAAAAAAAAAAAAAAAACTTTCACCATTTTTCTCCGCAAATAAGATATACCGTGTGACAATTCTATTAACATTAAATGATCTGAGAAAATTTTTCTCTCTCTCTCTTTCTTTTCTTTTCTTTTCTCCGCATAAGAAAAAATAAATTCAATTATCGTTTAAATATAGAAAAGAAAGGAAAGAGAAAGAAAATAAAAAGTTTTTTTTTTTTTTTAAAAATAAAGTTAAATAAAAATACGAGTACGTACTATTGATAACGATAAGAAAAAAATAAATAAATATAAATAAATAAATAATAATAATAATAATAATAATAATGTGAGTGTACAATAAGGGGTTTGCAATTGTAAAGCTGGATTACCCAAAATAAAGGTTTACCATAGTAGAGTTTTTAAGGGTTTCGTATTTTTGGCCAAATGGGGCAGCCGCAGCACGATGGCATTTTTAGAGGGGAATTCCCTGCCTCTTCCTTTTCAACCCTTTTATATGATTTTCTTTAGTGTTTCACCTTTTACTTTATATTTATACCTTTTGTATACCCCCTCCCCTCTCTCTCTTTGTTTAAATGTTTTGTGCGTGTAGAGAAGGACATGAAATTATGTACATAACAAAAAAAAATGTTTTTCTTTTTACTTTATTTACCTTTTTTTATTGTTTTTTTTTAAATTTATAATAATAATGATAATAATAATAGTAATTATTGTTATGAAAAAAACAAGTTTTCGGATTTTTTTTTATCGTTTTTCGGTTCTTTTTTATAGGATTTCTATTTTCTAATGACATAAATTATTATTTATTATAGAATCCGTAGAAAAAAAAAAAAAAAAAAAACAAGTGAAAAAGAGATTGAGGTCATCAAAACAAATCACTTGAAGAAATTAAAAACTATTATTCATTGTTTATGTGACATTTATTGGCAATTCCGATTTTTTTTTCTTTTTTTTTTTTTATTCCAAAGTCAAACCGATTATCGTCTCTCTTTTTCCTTTTTTTCCGACCCAATCGCTATACCACTCCCCCGCCCCCCACTTACTTCTTCACATTCTATATTACACACGCACACGGACACGAATACTACTCGCATTTAAATAATTTTTCGTTTTTTTTTTTTTTTTTTTTTTTATGGAGAAAATAATAATTAAAATAACTGAAAACGATATTTTTTTTTATGTATCCATAAATATTATTTATGTTTAGTATTATTTTCCTTTTTTTCCATGGAAAAAATAGGAAAAATCATTTCGAAAAGATTTTGTGATAAAATTTAATTGATTTAATAGCATTTATTTAAATATTTTATATGATGGTATTTTTTTTTTTTTTTAAATTATTTTCCTTTGTCGTGTTTTTTATTTTACCATTGAATTATACATTTCCCCCCCTCTCTTACCTCGTATTTGACGATGATGAAATATTAAATCATGAGAGAAGAAAAATAAAATAAAATGGTTTTAACTGATTCAAAAAAAAAAAAAAGGTTCCTCCATTAAATATTAATCGAATGAAAAAATTTTCCAGATATAAACCAGATATTATAAAAAAAAAAAAATTCATAAGGTTGTGTGTGTGTGCGTGCGCGGTGTAATTTGTGATGAATACGATGGATGAACATTTTTTTTTCATCCCTCTACCCCCCTTATACCATGTCATCACAAATTTAACCCCTTTAATCCTTTCCCTCCCTTTCTCTCTCTCCGCCATATCATCATTTATTTAAATTTTTTTTTTTGCTTTCTATTAATTTTTAAAAAAAAAATAATAATTTATTTATGGATTGTCGAGTGAATAAAAATACATAAAGTTTATTTATTTATTTATTTATTTTTGGGTTTCCAAAAAAAATTCCGAGTGATTGTTATCGAGCTGGAAAAATAGAAAAAAAAAAAACTGGAGAAAATTTACGTGCCAAAAAAGAAAAATGTTTTTTTTTTTCTCTGCTTCTGGAAATGGGGGGAAATTTTTTTTTTGTTAATTAGTCGACTTGAAAATTTATTTATAGTTTTTTTTTTTAGTTTCCAAAAAAAATATTTTTTGGAAAATAATAAAAAAGGTCATGGAGGGAAAAACAAAAATGACATTTTAAAGAAAACAACAAAAAAAATTTTTTTTGGAAGAAGTCTCCAGTGTCATAAAAATATTTATTTCAAATGACTTTTTGAATAAAAAATAATTTTAATTTGTTTAAATTATTATTATTATCGTAGTCGTAGCTATTGTTTTCTATTTTTGTTTATAAACTGGAAAAGGATCGAGTTCAAAAGGTCGTTTGTTGTTGTTGTCGTAAACATAATTTTTTTGTTTGTTTTCACCTTGAAATTTTTATTTTTTTTTTAAAGTTTAAACGTCCGACATTTTGTTTTTTTTGTTTTGTTTATAAACAATTTAAATATTTTAATCTTTATATAAATATTATATTTTTTTTTTTATTGTTTGTTTACATAAATTTTAAACCGTATGGATTCGATGTTTGATTTCATAATATTTTATTTACGAATACTCGTAATTTTTTTTTTTTTTATTCAAATAATAATAATAATGATGATGATAAATTTTGAAAATAATATTTATTACGTAAACTAAATAATATATATAAACTTTTAAAAACAAATAATATCTAATAAATAATAACTAATTATTTTATTATCATTAGTCTTTTTTCTAATCATAATAATAATAATAATAATAATCACATTTAAAACTACTTTTAGAAGACGTGGAAGAGGGAGGGGGAATTTTAGTTTTTTCTCGCACGTTAAATTTAAAACTAAAAAAAATTTTTTTTTTTTTAGAAAAACCGAAATTCACTGGCTAAAAAAAAAAAGAGTAAAAATCAATGTTTATACATATTTAAATATCACAGGTATTAAAAAAATCAAAGTTTTAAAACAATTTTTACGAGTTTGAAAACTTTTTTTTTTAGTTAAAAGTTTAAAAAAAAAAAAAACGATTTTTTTGTTTTTAATATGGCCGCCAAACCGTTTTTTGGGGTTGCGTTGAAGTTTGAGTCGTGGTGGTGGTGGTGATGGTCGAACAATCGGATATAACAACTGTTTCCTGTTTTTTTTTATTTTCACTCACACTTTTTATCGGCGATGATTTTCTGCAAGTCCGAATAATTCCCGAATCTTTACCACTACTACTATAAGGATGAGATCTAGAATTTGATTTAACTTGTCTGAACGCGGATTTAACAACGTCTATCGTTTCTTCGTTATCACTGTTATCGGAAATTTCACCCGTTGACGTATTGTTACTTTCCGTGGCGTTTTCTTCCGGACTCGGTATCCTTTGTTGATTCCCGGTTGTATTATTATTAGATTCCGGAGATGATGATGATGATGACGATGATATGACGCGAGCTGTTGAATTTCCGTTCGTTCCACTCAATATTGTTTCGTTTAATTTTGGTAATTGAGGGAGCAATAGTTTTTCCATAGATGTCGAATAACCTAAAAAATGAGGTCCTAAATAACTCGTAGGTGTTGGATTGGTTGAATGGGAAAATGTCGCCATTGAAGGTCCCAAATGTATATCCGGTGGAAAGGGAACGGATGATCCTAAAGAAGATGAACTTAACCCTGAAATTAATTTTTATTTATTTATTTAACTATTCATAAACGTTCGGACGAGGGAATTTAAATTTTTTACGTAGGCGTAACGCACAACGCAACGCAAGAGTTGAGAAAAGAAAAAAAAAGTATTTTTGGAAATAAGAGGATTTGCGGCCATCAGACAGAATTGATAAAAAAAAGGATGAACATGTGAATTTTCCGTTTAAAAGATTAAACAACCGAATTCTCAACTAGGGCTTTAACTTAAAAAAAAAAAAAAATTTAAATAATAATAATAATTATTATTTTTTGTATTATTGTCGCAAGTGTGTGTGTGTGTGTTTTAATTAAATGAAGCATAAATAAGGGCATCAAACGTGAGAGAGAAAGAGAGAGAGAGAGAGACTAGCCGACGGTGATGATCGGCAGATGCTAAGTAAAGATTTAAAATTTTGTGTGTGCAATTTTATGGTAGCAAAGACCCGACAATGCTTTCAACAGACCCACGATGAAGTTTTATGATAAAATAAGTCTCCTTTGTTCTTCTTCCCCTCTTTTATATAACAGTCATGGACAACTCAATTTCGTAGTAGTTCCATAATCTTGATTTTGTATTCCGTACGTTAGTTATATTCGAAGGGTGTTTAAAAAGAAACGAAAGAAGAAAAACTATTTTGCAATATTTTAACGTGATGGGGTATTCTTTTTTTGATTCATTTTTACGAATCTGCCAGCTTGCATTCATTCTTCACCGGCCCTCAGATTAGTTAGCTAAAAGGATATTGAATGCACACACGGAGGTCAATAATTGGTATTTTTATCCCTGCCACGTTTTCAATGAAAGAGTAACGAAAGAGACGAAAAGTGTGCGTAAATAGTTCAATAATATGAAAAATTATTTACCTTTTGAAAGTGTCGAACACGGAGGAACTGGAAGTTTACACAATTCTGTATTTGTTGGCCTTCTAAAATATTCTGGCCATGCGTAACTCATGTAAGCAGCATCTAACCATTGTGGTGGTACGACAGCAAAAGGTGCAAAACCTGGATAACCTCCTGCTAAACCGTAACCGAAACCTTTAAAAAAAAAAAAATTTATTTACAACATACGCTCTACTAAAATTCAAAACTACCTTAATAATAATAATAATAATAATAATAAGATTCATTTAATTTTATAAAAATGGTTTGGTAAAAAAAAAAAAAAATTTTATTTATTAACGTTCTCGGGGTTACAAACAGAAAAAATTTTTAACATTTTACCTGTAATTTTTTTTATTTTTTATGTTAGGTGAAGTATAAAAAGTTTTTTTTTTTTTGCCTAATAAAATGAATTTATATATATATAGGTTATGGATGGAAAAAGGGGGTAGCTAGAGGTTTTAAGGGTGAATTTAAAAAAAAAAAAATGAATTGACATCTCAATAACGGCTGTTGCTATTTGAGAAGGGCATTGAGAACAATAAACCAAACATTTTAAAAAGGAACAAAAAAAAAAATTTAATTGTTATATTTTTAAGTGAACGTTAAAGGCCGTTTAAAAATTATTATTATAATTATTATTATTATTATTATTATTATTATTATTATTATTACTATTACTTAAACGTAATTATAATTAATAAATCATTTATTTGTTTAATTAACTAACTAAATATTATTAACGCTCATTTTATTAAATTTTTTATGTAAGAATAAAACGATACAAAAAAAAAAAAAAATTTTCATAGAGTAAAAAAAAGGGGTTGAACGTAGAAAAAGAAAAAAAAAAGTGTCAGAAGAACCGCCCCCTGTGGCAAGTTTGACAACCTCAAAATCTTGTTTGTTACAAAAATAATCGGAAAATTAATAATAAAAAATTTTTTTTTCTTGTTTTGTGTCTTTTCGAAGGTAAACACCGTCGCCATTTTTTTTTTACCGTTAAAAAATAAAAATTAATAAATAATAATGGGTTTGAATAAGGTGAGGGTAATTTAATTTTATACTCAAAGTCTTGTTTTTATAAAATTCGCGCTCATTTGTTTCGAAATTAATAAACATGATGTGATCCGGAAATTGTTTATAAATGAACCGAAGAAGACATTTTTTTTTTTTTTTTTTTTTTATTAGAGATGCTCAAGCATCAGGAGCAGCAGCAGCAGCATCTGAGAAAGGAAAATTCGTTAATGGAACTTTTCATTTTTAGGCTTTTAAAAAAAAATAAAAAATTAAAAAAGCTTTTTACCCAAGCTCATCATCATCATCACCACCACCGCCACCGCCACCACCTTTCTTTTCGTTTTCTCTTTTGGCACAACCTTCGTTCACCTCCCTTCCCTTTTTCCCTACTCCCCTCCTCCGAAAGGGCGAATAAAACTTTTTTTTTTTAAAATAAAATTTAAAAAAAAATTTTTTTTCGTTCGCCATCGTTTCTTTTTTTTTAAAAAAAAAATAAAATTATTTATTTAAATCCCTTCGTGTCATTAGATAGATTCCCTTAGCTCATTCTATAAATTTGGCATTGACCGAAAAAAAAAAAAAACTTTTGAAATTTCCTTTACGCTCAAAAACTCAACGAAACCAGAAAAACCACGGTCGTAAAATGATTTTTAATTGTAGCGCTTTCCTTTGAAGTTTTTTTTTAAATAAGACTTGGTTGTAAAATGAACGCAGAATAAACAAAAATAAAAAAAAAAAAAAATCCAGATCTCAGTTCGCGTTGCTACCATTTTAATGAGTTTTCAAACAAGTAAAAAAAAAAAAAAAGTCTTCAACACAAACAAATGATGAAAAGGTCTCTCTCTCTCTCTCTCTCTTTCTCTCTCTCCTCTTTTACAAAGGAACTCATTCAATCATTCACTATGATGGTAATGATAATAATTATGGTATAAAAAAAAAAAAATGGCGTACGGATCACGAATCATGTTTTTTTTTAGTCTTCAATTACATCATATAATTTATTCCTTTTTATTTAAAAAAAAAAAGTTTAATTTAATAATATATATTTTTTACTGATACATTTATACTAAAAAAATATATTATTATTATTATTATATATTAAAAACGACAGAGAAAAAAATCCAAGATATATTTTTAAAAAAAAATTAACCAAAGTTTTTTACTTATTTATTTTATACATAATTTTATATTCCCTCTAGAATACATTTCTATTAAAAAAAAAAAAAGGATATTCTGGGGGATGAAAAAAAAAAAAAGAAAAATAAAGGGGTGGGTTTATTGAAGAAGGGTTATTTATTTTCCAAGCCAAATCTAAAAGAGTGACCGAAAAGGTTTTTTTTTTTTGCAACAACCTTCTCGCCATCCATCCTTCTTTTTCTTTCTGCCCTTTTGCCTTTTTCCCTTTCTCCTCCTCACCCCCCTTACACACACACACCGGAGCCCCGCCTTACTCCCCAAACATGTGTCGATAAGCGAAGTATCGGTCAAGTTTCAAGCTAAAAAGATTCCCGGGTCAAAATGCGTCAAAGGAATAATTCTCTTCGACAAAGTTCTATAGGCAAAGGGTTAAACGAAACCTCTTTTTTTTTCTCTCTCTCTTTGTGCTGCTGCTCTTCAAACCTTCTTTTTTTTTTTTCATTTTCCGTCGTTTTACTATCATTATCATCATCATCAACCTTTTCTTTCGCGGCGAGAAAAACCTTTTTTCATTTAAAAAAAAAAAATTTACTAAACGAAAGTTTTTTTTTTTTAAAAGATTAAAATTTCGTGAGTAGTTTTTTCTTCATTCTAAAAAAAAAATTTTTTTAATGACGTCACAATATTATTATTATTATTATTATTATTATTATTATTATTATTATTATTATTATTATTATTATTATTATTGTTTTTAATTTTTTATGTGATTAAATGAAATTTTTGCGTTCGTTAAAACAAAAGTTTTTTCTTCGCCGGATTTTTGTGTTCTAAAAGTTTTTTTGTTTTGTTTTCTCGGTGGCGACAGGATATGGCACAACAACAACAACAAACAAACAACAAACAACAAAAACTATATATATAGACATCTTTTACCGATAAACCCCCTTTGAAAGGTTTTTTTGTCTTTTGTGTGTGTGTGTGTGTGTGACTCTAAAAGTGAGGCTAATTACCGGTCATGTGTGAAGTTACCATGACGACAAGCAATTAAGGCAAAGCGGTTCGGCTACTTTACATATTCCTTTCCTTATCAAAGCACTTCTGATTACATCTTTCTCTACTTTACAAACTTTTAATCTTGTTTATCTTGATCCTTTTTTTTTTTTTTATTCTGACTCGGTTAATCCGGCCTTTGTTAAGACAAACAAAGGAAATCAACTAATTTTAATACCTTTGTTTTTCATATCCTCTCCTTTTTTCGCCACGACTTTAGGTTGGTAGGTAAGTTCGTACCCTTATTTAATTTTTTTGTCCGCATTTTCTTTTTCAAGTGGTTTTTTAATTATTATTATTATTATTAATAAATAATTTTTCACTTATGTGCATAACACGAAATATGATTAAAAAACGGATTAAACGTGTTTGTACTTACTCGTTTTCGTTCTTGGTTCCCTGGGTCCATCAACAGTAACTTTTATGGCTTTCGCATATGTTGCTATTTGAAAAGGCGTAGAACTTATTAGAATCGTCAAAGAAAAACTTTTTCCTGTTGAAAAAAAAAAAAAACAAAATCGTGATCGTGAATGATAATAAAATTTTAAATTATTATAAATGGAAAATAGCAAAAAAATTATAGAACTCGTGAGAAAATAAAAACTAAAAAAGAAAGAAGAAGGTGGAGGGATGGAAAAGAGCCGAAAGGGGTTTTTCCTATACTACTTATTGATGCACTTCATGGGGGAGGAAGTCTTTATTGTTTGCTGAGGGAGGGATGACTCATGGTAAAATTCAATCAATATCTGGCACATACACACTAACTATATATATATATATCAAATAAATAGGGAGAAAAAGAAAAACGGAATCGTAATATGAGACAATAGAAAGAAAAAAAAAATTCCAAAAACTAATCCTGGAGTGTATGTAGTGGTAGTAGAATGATTGAATTTTTATTAATAAATTTTTGTTAAACCGGATGTTGTTACAAAAAAATTTTACACGTTTAAGAGAAAAACATTTTTTTATTATATATATTATAACGAATTGAAATTTTCCATCAATTTTAAATTTTGAGTGAGAAAAACAACAAAAACCGCGCATAAACATATTTCAAACAACAACAAAAAAATTAAATTTTGTTTTTTATCCAAATTACCGCAGTTAACGTGTAACTAGAACACTTTAAACGACGTAATTAAATTTAATTTATGAAATGATTTAATTTATTTTGATTAACACGTTTTAATTTTAAAAAAAAGGAAAATTGTTGAGTAATTTACAAAGCAAGAAAGTTTTACCGTCAAAAGTTTTTTCTTTGTATAAAAACTTTCGTTTATTGCTCCTTCCGTTTCCGCGTAGTGAGGAAAATCAAATTTTTTAACAAATAAAAATGTCGAGAGTGAAACGATGTAACTTTTTTGTTATCGAGACGGTTTATAAAAAAAAAAAAGTTTGACTACTCTTACCTCTTCCGCTTCTTCCGACAAATCTCAAATCGTTGAATTTAGCAACTTGATTTTTCATAACGGCCGTACAATTTCTTAACTCCCCGCAAAAATTTTCATCGTTTCCGCACCTGATTGTTACCAAAGTGCCATCAACAACATCGTCCAAAGCGACAACTTTAAACGCGATCGGTAATGATTTATTTGATCTCCAATGATTGGGTAATGCCGAACATAATATCGCGGGACTTCCGGTTTGCACGAGTTCTCCGTGATATTCTTGTAAAATTTCGTGAACGTTTGAAAAAAGGTCGGTACCCGCCATCGCGGCACGATCCCTCGGCGACGGCAAATGCATCGGGGCACCAGAAAAACGGGAAAAAATAAAATTTTCTTTTTCTCACGTTTCTTTTATTCTTATCGCGATTATCGTATTACGAAACTTCATTCGATATTATTATGTACCGATATCGAATCCGACGTTTATATAAAAAAAAATAGTCAATCAAAAACGGTTACACGTCAAAAACAAACAAACAAACAAACAAACGAACGAGAAAAAAAAAAAACAAAAATAAAAGAAAAAAAAAAAAAAAACTTTTTCTTACAGATGGTGTTGCGATGACGCAAAACAGCGCTCAACTGTCTGTCAGTGAGAAGACCGAGAGTAACAATTTTTTTTTTTTTTTTTTTTCTTTCTTTCTCTCCGATATCCGTCGATTTTCTCCCCCCCACTCTCAACACCGCTTTTCTCTCTCTCCCTCGTGAAAAAATGGTGTTTTATATGCGGGTTTTTTTTTTTTTTTTTGTGAGAAAGAGAGAGATATAAAATACGCGTTACACATAAGCGAAACAAAGATACAAAAAAAAAAAAAATTCCCCCGCGACCATTCCCGCACGCTCTTTCCCTCTCTCTCTCTCTCTCTCTCTTCTCCAATCCGGCCCGGCGGTTTAAACGTGGCCACCGCCCGCGTTTTGTGGCCGACCGGCGAACTAAAACCCATACTCTCCCCCTCCCCTCTCTTTACTCCTCGCTCCTCCTCATTTCCCTCCTCTTCTACCCTTACTACATTCATCCCTTATCGGTTCCACCCTTAAGATTTTCGTCTTAGGAGTCAACTTGTTAATGGGGGTAACTTTTTATCCAATTTCCTTTAGTTTATCTTTTTCTCTTTTATTTTCGTATTTATATATAAATATATGCACATAAACATAAACATAAACATAAAATTTAACAATTTGTTTTCTGTTTTATTAAAATGTTTTTCTTTCTAAACATAATAATAATAATAATAATAATAATAATAATAATAATAATAATAATAATAATAATTATAAACATAAATTTAATTGTTTTGTTTATAATTATATATAAAATAAAATAAAATTTTTTTTTCGCGTTTACCTCTTCGCGTATTAAAACAATTTCGAGGGGGCGTTATTATTAATGGGGTAACTTTTATTAGGCTCAGGTACGAAGGTTTAAAAAGGAAAAATTTATCGTTTAATCCTTTAAATGAAAAAGTAATAATTTTAAATCATTATATTCATTATTATTTTTTTTTCTTTTTCTCCCCAAATTATAAAATCAAAATGAAATAATAATAATATGAATGGACATTCGTTTCATCCTTGTTCATCCCCCCCAAATGATCAATTTAAAATCAACGTTGATGATGATGATGATGATGATTCCTTGGGCTAGATGATTCCCATTTGGGAAATTTTTTTTTTTTTTTTTTTTTTTTTTTTAGCGCAGACGACGACGATCAATCTGTAATGAGCTCAATCGATCTTGTGACATCATATTCTTGTAAAAAAGGCAAAGTACATGGGTCCATCACGTTTTCCTTTCCCCTCTCTCTCTCTCTCTACATCCTCTTCCTATTTCCCTTTTTTTTTTTTTTTTCTTTCACCTCACTCTCCCATAAACACAGAAGAGAGAGAGAGAGAGATGGGGGGAGGGTCACGCACACACACACTCGTGTTTTTCCCTACCCTATACGTGTGTGTATATATCGGATCCATTAACACTTCATGATGAATAGCCCCTATTTTTTTAAATGTTTTGCCGGCGTAAACCTTTTTTTTTTTTTTTTTTTTTTGTTTCTTGTTTGTTTTAATTTGAAACTGAATATTTTTTCTTTTTTTTTTTTAAATATTACGAGAAAGAAAAAAAAAAGTGGATTCGTTAGTAAAATTTTAGGTAGCAAACTAAAAAACTTTTCGAGAAGAAAAGGGAGTTGATGATGATGATGATTTTCTTCGTAACCTCCCCTTTTTTATTTTTTTTCCCAATTTCATCCCCATTTTTGTTTGTATCTTTTGTTATCTCAGGGTTTCGACACGCCGCCAACACACGTAATAATTACATTTTTTTTTTTTTTTTTTTTACTGAAAATTTTGTTCTGACAGTCGCAATTTCAACAATTTTTTTTTTTATTATTTTATTTCTTCGTCTATATTATCTTTTTCTTTGTATTCGAACCCCCCCCTCTCCCCAAGCACGGAAAAAAAAGTTTTTATTTTAAAAAACTTTTCAACCGTTTTTTGTTTGAATTTTTAAAAAGAATTTTCTATTTTCTATTTAGAACGAGTTTAAAGAAATTGTATATAAAAATATTTGACTAAACTTTGAAAAAAAAAAAAAAAATTGAATGCATGGAAGTATTGGGTATATAAACTTTTCTTTTTTGAGGGGAACAAATGTAGAAAAAAAAATTTTCTCCCAAAAAAAAAAAAAAACTTTTTCCTGTAAGATTTATTGAAGCAAATTGGTTTGACAAACAAAAAAATAAAAAAAAGGGAATTTTTTTTTTTTTTTTGAATTGAAATAAAATTTTCCAGGGTTAAATTCAACCGAACCGTGTACAAAAATAAAAATTGAAGAGCGGCCCCCTCCTCCCCCAGCCCTTGGGTCGGTCCCCGTCAAAAACCTCCCCACGTGTGTGTGTGTGTGTGTGTGTGTGTTCATTCCCTTTCTCTTGTTATATATTTATATATATATATATATATATATCGCAAAAACCCAAAATAATCCAAACGTTTGAGATTTTTGCCCTCGATGTGCACCGAATTAATTCTGCAACGTTTCATGGATGAATGCAAACTGGAGATATGTGCAATATATATTATCCGGTTTATGATTGATTTGTTTCACTTTTTTTTTTTTTCTCCAGGATTTTTTGCGTTCCATGAATCGAACCTTACGCTTATATTTTCAAAAATTTTTTTTTTTCGTTTTTAATTTTCCGGCCGAATTTTTATTTAATAAATTTTTTTGTGTTTACTCCCTTGTCTTTTTCAATTTTTTCCTTTTTTTGCCCTCGTCTGGAATAATTTCTCGTCATTATAATCTACCACCACCATTTTTTTTTTTTGTTAATTTAAAATCCGGTAAATTTTACGTCGTGTAAAATTTTCCGTGTAATTTTTATTTGGTGTGTGTTGCAACAGGTGTAACGACTAAAAGTTATCATCATTATCATTCTTAAAAACAAAAATTTTCGGGTTAATTCGATTTTCCTCTAAAAAAAAAAGAAAATTTTTTTTGTTTTTGCTTTTGCTTTTTTGTTTTCGATTTTGAATTTTTGATTATTATTTAACAGATAAATTTTGTTCGAATTGTAAAAAATTTTTTTGATTTCCTCTCACAAATGATGATAATTAAAAAAAAAAAAAAAAAAAAGAAATTTTTTTTTTTTTTTTTTTAATAAATTTCAGTTGCAAAAATAAAGAAAATGATGGATATAAAAACCCTAAAGGAAACATATGGCATGAAAGAGGGTGTGAACCGTGACGAGGCCTGTCACAAATGACTCTAATTACACATTGGCGTTCCCTGGAGTGACATGGAAGTCGTTCCAAAGAAAGAAAAAAAAACCACATGAAAAATATAAAAAAAAATTTTAATTTTGTGATGACGTAAGAAGAAGAAAAAAAAAGGAAAAATTTTAATTTTTTTTGTCGACTTGTGAAAGTTATTGAAATTTTTTTATTATTATTATTATCAGTTAGTGTGCGTTATAGGGAGAAAAAAAAAAGTATAAACGTGTCCTGATAATAATGGGCGTTGCGTAAAGAACAAGTGGCAAAATATAGAACGCGGATTAACAAGTTCTAGGGAAACATTGGCAATGGTAAGCCTCCCCTGTCACTCACTCATCTTTATATAAAAAAAAAAAAGTTAATCTCTATCGATATATTCGAAAAAAAAATTCAAGGAAGGGGGGGGGTCGTCTATACTGTTTGAATATATATAAAAAAAAAAAAAGAATTTTCCAGAAGTAAAACATGATATGTTTTTTATAAAAACATTAGTTTTGCCACTGTTTCGAAAATAAAAAATGGAAAAAAAAATTTCGATCGACTAATCGTTGATTAAACCGAACGACAAAAAAAGAAAGTAAAAAAAAGTTGAAAGATTTTAATATTAAACCCTAAACGTCGACGCATTCCCACGCACACGCACACACGCACGTAGTACGCGCGTAGGCTCGCGTTTTATCGGTAAATTGTCAGGAAGGCTCAAAACCCTTCCTCCCTCATGATGCTGCTTAGAGAAAAGAGACAAAGTGAAAACTAATTGAGAATGAAGTCGGGAAAAGCTCAAATGGGTCGGTCGTGTACAGGAGGATTCCCGAGGACAACATTAGCTTATCCTTTCATCATCATCATCATCATTATTATTATTATTATTATTCTGTTCATCATTTAAAGAGATTAGTTAGCCATTATTTTTTAAGTAAATTATATTTCTCACCTTTTTTTTTTATATTTTTTCCCGCCCCCCTTCCCTCACCCTCTTCTTTCTTCTCTCGTATTTATAATCATCATCATCATCATCATCATCATCATTATTATTATTATTATTTATTTAAATTAAAAATTTTATGATTTTTTTTTTTCATTTGAAAAAATAAATTTATCGAATAAACAAATTCGTTAAAATTTTATTTTATTTAAATAATTTTTCTTATTACATATTATTATTATTATTATTATTATGGGTCAAACCCAAATTTAAGTAATTTAGGAAGTTTTTTGTAAATAATAATAATAATAATGGATTTAATTCTGCACTAATTTTTTTTTTTTTTATTCAAAAGTTTAAAATAATCTCTTTTTAATGTATTTATTATTATTATTATTTCTTCTTATTGTTGAAGATAGAGGATCGAAATCCTTAAAGATGTTAATAACATAAAAAGGAAATAATAATAATAATAATAATAATAATAAGATATTTGAAACTTTTTAGATAAAAGATAGAAAGAGAGAGAGAGAGAAAAGCAGATGTTGGTGTTCGATCAGGTAGAAAACCAAAGAAAATTTTTTTTGAAAATCTGATTTTGACCC